AGGAGGATCAGAGGGAGAAGCAGACTCCCTGCCGAGCAGGGAGCCCGATGCGGGACTCGATCCTGGGACTCCAGGATCATGACCTGAGCCGAAGGCAGTCGCTTAACCAACTGAGGCACCCAGGCGCCCTCTTCAACAACAAAATTTTATTATTGAATGGCATAGAGGTGTGTTGAAGACTTACCTTTGGAACCAGCTGGAGGCAATGATTCGTGAGGTTGAGGTATTTCCCTGAAGGGTGTAGCGCATGCTCTGAACCAGCTACCAATATGTGGTACTCTGTCAGGTACGATAGCCAGAATGTATTGGTTCTGAGAAACTGTCAGGCAAGGCTGACTGATTTGGCTGGTAAAGAAATAATGTGCCCTTTTTAGATCAGACAGTTTATTACTCACATAAACAGCAAAAGCAGGAAGAGCAAAGGTGCCAGCTCCCCATGTCCTTTGTCCCATGGGGTGCCACCGAACAAGAGGGAATGTGGATGGCATTTGATGCAGCATGCGATACAGCACACATTCATGCTGAAATGGAGCAGTTCCAAAGCCTGCAGCTACGGCCCAGAGAAAGAGGCAGAAGGCCTCACACCTCATCGGAACTTGCAATGTGAGGAGAGATTGTGTCATGATAACCCCTGGAAGATAAGGTGGTGACTGGGACAAGGTCTTGTCAGAGTGCTTCACAAGTGTCCCATGCTCTGTGTTCTGGAAAGATCACAGGGCAGTTTGCCAAGACTTAGATCAAATCAGCTGCAGTTAAGTCTTGCCTGTGTGGTCTATGTGGAGACGTGCAAGGTCACCAGGGCGCCACGGCAGAACCATTTGCTAACAGAACCAAGAATTGTCGGAGATTTTTGTGCCCAAGTGAAGAATACTTCCATCTGCTGAACCAGTTATGATTCTGTGAGTTGAAAACTGGCTATGCTCTGCATCCATTACAAGCTTCCTGATGCCACTGGGTATGAGGTCAAAAAGGATACTATCCAGTATTCAGGAAAGTAATCAGTGACCATGATATATAAATAACAATAGCTTTCTATAAGAGTCAATAATTGGTAATAAAATATGTTGGGGAGAAAGTTCACATTCACAATAGCAAGAAAAAATATTAACTGCCCGAGCATTAAAAAGAAAAGAAAAGAAAAGAAAGAAACAGGTAAGTCCTGTGTGGAGAGGGGAAAAGAGGAGAAAACTTTAAGGACCTAATAAAAGATTAAAATAAATGGAAGCACATAATACAATCCCTTATAGAAAGACCTGATATTTTCTACTGTAAATTTCACTTCAAATTATTCAATAAGAGAACTTGACAAGATAATTTTATATTTTATTTAGAAAAATAAATGAACTAAAATGGCAACAACGAAAACATTGAAAAAGTTGTTTGCACAGCAACAGGCAGAATTGTCAGTGGGAGGAACCACAGACTCTTATCTTGTAGCTGCTGAAGACTGTTGGGGTGAGGGGAAGGGCTACTTCATGAAAGAATGTGCTCCAACTGACAACTATTCTCGCTTGTTTCCTGAATTGCAAAAGTGTTTCTGAAACTATTCTTAAATATGGCCTCTACCTGAAGTCCAAACTTGATGAATTTCTGGTTGTCCTGAAAAAGCAAAGAGAAAAATGAGAATGGCCATAGCAACTGAGCTTAGGCTCTCCATGTTTCATGTAATCCAGAGCTTCATTTTGGACTATCCCAAATGTTAAGTGAGAATTAATACAGTCAAGAGTCTTATGGTCCCTGATAGCTTGATAATTTCTCTTTACCTGGAAGACAGAGATGTAAAAATAGTACTGTATTATAGTCTAACTCTTCATCAGAAATTTATTGTTAATTTTTAAAAAATACTAGTTGCTTGATTTTCAAACACAGCACTTATAACTTGCAACACTACAATGGTAGGGAACCACTGGAGATAGGGAGATGTTCAGGTGTGAAAGGGAGGCCCCTGTCCCAACATTCCTGAGGTCCTAGACGCCAGACGGCGGGTGCGCAGCAGCACCAGCAAACTGCGCATGCGCATACTCTACGCCTGCGCATCCAGTCTCTCAGCTGGCGCCTCCGGCTGAGTAAGGATAGGAACCCGGGGCAAAGGCGGAGACTTCTGGGACACACACAGAGCTACCCAGCTCCAGAAAAAAAATGCGTTTCCATTTCTCGTAGAAGGAAATAGGTCTGCAGTCCACTGCTCTCTGTGGGTGAACACTGAGCATCTAGAAGTGCGTAAACTCTGAGGTCCTAAGGTAATGTCTGCAAAGAGACCTGGTTTGTTACTATTTCCCCACCTTAGACCACAGGGCTTTTAGAATACCTCCAGAATTTGCACTTGTGGTAGGCTTGCCACAAGATGAGGGCAACTGTAACATTTACCTGATATGAGGATGAATGGCAAAGTGGCTTAACGGAAAGAAAGAGGGATGCAGAGGGAACCACTCACCTTGTAAAAAGTCCTGTGGTTCTGAAAGATGAGGCACATGTCCCTCACGAACCCCTCCACTCGGAGGTACAGTTTCTTATTCAGCTTTTTCTTGATTTTGTTTAACCACATGGGTTTCTTTGGGCCATGAGACGCGTCGCTACCCTGTTGACAAAGTGAGGAAGGGCAGACTGTGAGCACTGTTCCAAGTCTACCCACTGTTACAGACCAAGCGCTTGTGTCCCCCCCAAATTCCTATGTTGCAATCCTAACCCCCAATGTGATGGTATGAGGAGGTCGGGCCTTTGGGAGAGGATTAGATTGTGAGGATGAGCCTCATGAATGGGACTAGTGCCCTTATAAAAACAACCCCAGAGAGCTCTCTCCCTCTCTTTTCACCATGTGAGGACACAAAAAGAAGTTGGCAGTCTGCAGGATCCCACTGGCACCCTGATCTCAGGCTTTCAGCCTCCACAGCTGGGAGAAATAAGTATCTGTTGTTTGAGCTGCCCTGTCCATAGTACTTTGTGGTAGCAGCTTAAGTGGCCAAGGACTGAGTAAGCTGACTCAGATATCCATCAACAAGATGAAGATAATGACAAGTGACCCCACTGGACCCATATCACAAATTTGACAATGCCAGTTTTGGGCTTTGTTGCCATTACTTACATAATGTGGTCTTGAAGCAAAAAAGAGGCTTTTTGAATAGCAGTAGACATTCAAGAGGACAAATTCACATTTCTGCAAAAGACAGAGGAGATTTTAAGTGAAAAGCAGCTTGGGGAGAATGAATTGTACATATGCTCAGACAGAATGCACAGCTCCCAAACCTGTGGCCTATGAAACAAACACAGAATGGGAATTTTCTTTGGAATACAGATTTTTGGAATTCTTTGGAATACAGACCTAGGGTTAGGTCATGTGATCAAAGCACAGCAGGGGACAGCAGTTCACCCGTGGGCACCATCCCTCCAGCCCCTACAAGACTGTGCTTCTTCTCTCAAGTCAACAGAAAGGAGGACACTTCAGGTTTATATTTCAACTCACCAACTGTTCCTCAGGCACCATCCGCCTCTTTAGGACCTCAGATACCTGGTGACATGGTTGGCTTTGTGGGTAACTTTGTTGAAGAGCCTTTATCCTGCAGAAGATGCAACTCCATGGGTCCCTGAGAGGTTGGGCATAAGGTCAGCAAAGGTAGGTTCTCTGTGATTCAGTCACCGTTTCTACAGCTATTAAAGTCCTCTGTTCAGGAATGACTGGTGGTTTCCACATTGTATCCAACTTCTCTCTTGAACACTCCTCTGCGCTAGAGCCCCATTTGGGCACAGTTGCCAGACACCCCTCCCATTAATAGTGGTAGCAGGACTGACAGTTTGTTGAGTGAGCTGCCATGGTGGGTGATGGTCTTTCATTCATCTCAAAACTTAGAGTTCTTATCTGAGCTACTGTGGACTCAGTAATGAGCCCTGCCTGTTAAAATTTCCAATTGGTACCTTTAGCACTGGAGTCTTGGGCCTCAATGAGCCATCAGACCATAGTAAAAGGAAACCACTTCTTGTTTCTCAACTTTGTTGAGTAAGCACAGAGTTATAGATATCCTCTCCTCTGGCACTGCCATTACCTGGGCCTAGAATCTATGCTGCAGAAATTTCTTGGAAAGGAAATCTATGAACAGAGTAGTGTCAGACATCTGCCATTTGCCTTTAGATTCATTCTCCATTCTTCTCTGCCAGGTTCCCTGTGCTGAAGGGCTCTCGATAATCAAGTGGATACAGTGATCCTTCCTAGATATGTCATTTGCCTTTTTCCTTGGCTACTCCAGTGCTTGCCCAAGGGGCCCATTCCTGAGTACCCGTGGTGCGAGGATGGGGACTATACATGGGCTCAGCAATAGAGCAGGCCTGTCTTCTGCCTCTGCAGCTTGCTCAACTGCAGAGCTTTATGCAGAATCCCTAAGATGACACTATTCCCTGGGAACTACCTGGGAGCAGGTGGATTACATTAGACTCTCCCATTACCAAGGGGCAATGCTCTGTCTTCATAGGGATGGACACAATACCGATGGAAATCATCCATCCTCCCTGGTCACAGCAATTCTGCCTACACTATCACTTACAGAATGCCTTATCAATCTCCATGTTATCCCTCATACCATCATCTCTGACCAAAGATATATTTTAAGGCAAAGGAAATGTAGCATCAGTGGCCATCAAAGGCTCATCACAGTCCCCAATTTGTCAACTTTTTGATGTTCCCATAGCAGGTGGTATATGCTTTAAACCAGCACCTAATGCATGGTGTCATCACCCCAACAAAGTGCCTGGGTCTGGGAACCAAGTGGGGGATATGGGGGTGACATCTCTTTCTACAGCTAACAACAACTTGAAGAGTTTTTGCTTCCCATTAATCTATTGCTGCTAGAGCCATTAAACAACTCTGGATCATATTTCTGGGCCCTGATACTTTAAGACTCTGCTCCCTCTGCATCAAGACACATACAACCAGAGACAAATTCTGCAGGCTGAGTGCGCACGGTTGGAGGAGTTGTGCCACAGGAGGGAATGGCAAAAGGGGACCAGGCTCACTAACCTGTTAGCATCTATATGGTGGATGTGGCATGTCTCATGAAAGGACTTTGGACAAGTATCACAGCAGAACAGCTTTCCAGGTCGACGGCACACCTCACATATATTTGAGTTTCCCGGCTAGAAGGGGAGATAATGCAGACATCACTGGAATCAGTGAGACCCGAGAAGGTCGACACACTGGGACTCTAGAACACATGACTTTTGCTTTGTACCCAGGTGACACTTATAAATTTCTCTTCTCAAAATATTGAGTGAAGATTTTGGAAGAAGACATTCTGGTCTGTGGCAAAGTTTGGGAGGAAGTGGCTATTAGACCACTGAAGTTTTTTTATGAAGATAGAGATTCTGACACAAGTCTAGCAACAACCACAAAAAGGGATGAATTAAAGATAATCTGAGAAATTCATTATTTTGCTGGCAAAACTTGGCTCAGGAATATAATACAGTGTCTTATCTAGTTATCTACATTGCATCATCTACATTGACTCACTGAAGAGTGATTTACCGAGAACTTAATATAAGAGATTACACTCTGACATATCACTGCATCCTCTTTTCTTGGCCATAAGTTCCCCATGATTTGAAGGGCCTGGGGAGGAGTTCCCGCACTATGGACTCCGTGCCTGGAGGGCCCCTGGGCCTATGACAGTACCTCTGGGTTGGAAAGACATAGACACAGATGACCAGGTGGATGCCAGGGAGGACAGAGCTCTTTGGCTCTGGGAGCCTGTGGGGAGATGTCCCATGGTTTAGCTCAGCATGTAAGGTGTGGAGGTGCTGTCCCCAAATGGCCAGGGATTGTGGTAACAGTGACCACCACAACTGAAGGCCTAGGCCATACCCTCATTTTCTGAGGACATTCAAGACCTAGTGTTTTTGTATATAAGGAAGGTGGAGGGACCCACAAAATTGGTTGATGCTTGATTTTTCACCAATCGCAATATGTAGGACCTTTAGCCATATTTAATTTCCTTTAGTGAAGTTAAACATTTGATAGTGTTTGTATCTAAGTATTATGGAGTAACAAACACATGTTAAAAACAATAGAATTAATAGACCAAAATAAATCTTGGTCAAGGAATGAGCCCATTGATGGGTAAAAGAAATCACATTTTTTTCCTGTTGTGTGTGATAATCTATGTGGCAATAACATGTGAATCCCTACATACTACAATTTCTATGTAAGAAGGTTGTGTGCCTGGGCTGGAGAAATGCCCAGAAGGATGAGCACCCGGCCCCTCTCCTAGGACCACCTGAGCAGCAAGAGAGCCAATTGAGGAAGACTACGTGGTGGGGAAACATTTCATCCAATGGGTGGCAGCTCTATACCTAAATGAAAATATCCTCTTAATACCATGGGTTGGAAGAAAGATTTACATCCTCTTGTGACAATCTAGGTATGAAATAATGCACAGATTTGGGGGTTGGCCAACCCAGTGATGGATGGTCGGGACTCTTGGTGGCAATGAGGAAGTGGGGAGGTGACAGGGAGCACCATTCCACCTCTTCCTTCTAGAAACACTCTTTATGCTTTGTTCCATGATATTCTACTTTCTTGGATTTTTTCTAACCCTCTGCTTTTTTTTTTTTTTCAGATATCCAGTTCATCACCAGTCCTGCTGATCCCATTTTTCAAAACTCCTATCTCCTTCTCAGTGCTTCTGTGAGGTCTACAGCCACAAGGATGCAGATGCCTTACTTATTAGCCAAAGTACAGCAGCCTGCTTTTTAGGTTCTAAATCATAACAGTCAGAATATCATCCCTACACCCAGTGAGCTGATGTGAATTGGGACATATCTCAATTTGTAAATTCTTTTCATCTATAAATTCAATGTAAGAAGAAGAGACACAAAAGTCACACATAAGAGGAAATTCTAGGCTCTTGTATCTTGCCCATGCACTCCCTTTATTGAAAGGGAAAACTTAAGGAATGGCCTGGAAGGGACATCCCTGGACACATCCCCACCTGGGCCTGGCATGGGCTGTGTAAATATTTTTCTTTTTTTGTCATAACAGATGACACTCATAGATGCTGACCATTGCTGGGTGGAGGTTTCTAGACTATCATCCTATAAAAAGTGCACTGTAAGCAGGCCCCGAGAAAGAATGAATAAACATGACAATCCCGTGTTGGAAGGTCCATAGTCTAGGAGCCCACAAACTCAACATATATCTCTTTAATTTTTTAGCAAGAAATTTGTCCTTTTGCCTGGCAGTGGTTCTCAACCTGCTATACAGTAGAATCACCTAGGGACCTTTAAAAAATTCTGAAGCCCAAGGCCCCATCCTCAGAGATTCAATTAATTGCACATGATTTTGGTTGTTTGCTTCACCAGGGTGGGGGGGACATAGGCAGTATGTTTTAAACATTCCCCAGATGGTTTTAAGGTGCAGTCCTTAGTGGATACCTCTGGATTCTAAAGCAGTGGTTTTGGGATGAGCAGGAGCAGCATCCACTGAATCTTGTTGGAAGTGTAAATTCTCAGGCCCCATCCCTCACTCCCTGAATCAGAAGGCAGGGAGATTCGGATGAACACTATACCATGGCCCACAACTTTGGCTGTGCATTAAAACCACCAGAGGAGCTTTGGAAAATCTTGACCCTCAGGCTGCACCTTAGAACACTAACATCTGAACCTCTTTGGGTGGGACCTCCAGCTGATTGCCGTGTGCAGCCAAGGTTGGAGGCCCAAGGTCTAGCGGGATTTCTCCCAGCAAAGCCTGGGAGCTGTGAGTAGAGTCATTATCAGCCTACAAAATCTGTCACAGAAAGGTTATGAAAAGGTGTGAGGACATTTTTATTAGAAGAGTTGCTTTTTATCTTCGCAGAGGGCTCGGTTGTGAACTGTGAGGAATAACCCTCCATGTCCATTCCAGGTATCAGAAAAGTTGTGCAGACCCCAGAGATGAGAGCTACTCCACTACACAAGGGTCTCCCACGTCCAGCAGAGGAATCGAAGTCATGTGGATGCATCTAGATCATGCTGGGCAATGCATTTGCTAGAAGAACAGAGGGCATGGCAACCCTTTTCTATCCCTTCTCCATAAGCATCCCTTATCAGTACAGCTGCCCATCATTCAATAGTGAGAGCCCCCCCTGGAGTTGTGCAAAAAGGTGATTCAGCTCAAAACATCCATCTTGTTGCAATGAAAGCAATCAAAGTGTGATTTGGCTTAGAGGGAGGGGCCATCTGTGATGCTGGCAGACTTTAATGCAGGTAGCTGTAACAAGCAGGGCCTGTGGAATCAGAAGGCTCTGCACATAATCAAGCACTAGCCAAGCAGTTTGAGTAAAAATGTCTGTGATTTGCTGTATGTTGATAGTTTCTGTCTTACCCAGCTCAGCCCCCTGATGGTTCCCTTGAGATGAGCTCCAGGGCCTCCATAAAGGACCCTGCAGATACTTCCCTGCATCACCCACTTGCTCTGTGTACATTTCTCTGCAGGACTGGTGACAGGGTCCACCCCTGGACTTGCCAGCTTGGCTCAGCCTGTTCCTTCTCACAGATGCTTCAAACCGTCTTAGCTCTGCCTCTATCTTGGAGTAGATGTTTGTGATCTTCCTTTCCTTCCTATCACCTTCTTCAGAATGCTGCTATTCTCTCAAGTGTGTTCCTTACCTGTCATGTGCACGCCAGCCTCGGCTATTACCACTTTAAGTCCTGGCTCTAAAGACCTCAGTGGTCTAGCGCTCTGCCTCCCATACTCACTCTCAAGGGGAAATAAGGAAACAGGAAAGTTTCCCTGAACAAATGGGAAGGGAGCTTTCATGCAGAAACACCAATTCCAAAATCATCTCCCTGGTGTGGGTGATATGTCCGTCTGCGGTTCTCTCCTCGTCACACACAGTGACATACTCCAACTGAGTGTGAGCACACTTCAGAGAAACGCAGCAATGATACAGGTCATGTATGGAGGGACAAGGCCTGGATTATTCTGGGGTCACAGTTGGGGAGTTAGTACTTACGTAAGGGTCAAAAAAGTCATTGCTGCTAGGCTCTGGTATTGTCTGCTGAAAAGAGAGAAAGATTGAGTGACTATATTGAATATGATTTTTCATTACCCACGCATTTGAGCAGACTTCTTTGTGTAAAGGATTCATGCCACAGCCTTCCCTTTGCTTTATATCTGCATTTATGGGTCTGTATATCTAATTGGAGAATAAAAAAGCATGAAATTTTATGTCACTGACAGTTTGGCTCAATGCAAGTTCCATTCTCTGGCTGTCCGACTCAAGGCAGCCCTTTGTGAAGCCACACAGGGAGCCTGGTCCTGGATTCCACAAATAGAGTTGGAGCTGCAGTGAGGGAATCAGGCCGAGGGCTGAATATCCACGGCCCCCAGCGACCGCAGCGCCCAGAGTCCTGGACACCTTGCAAGTGTTCCCGAGAACCCCACTGCCTTCTGCAGCTCACCCAGGGCCTAACCTGAAAACAAAATGGATCTAAGGTCCCCAGTCCCGTCCCTCTTCTTCCTGAAGCTAAGCACCTCTCCACTGTCTCCTGAATCCCAAAAGCATGCACTGACCTTGGATATCTGTGGAATGACTCGGCCTCCTTCAGTCTGGAACAAAGGCTGACTCAGCTTCTACCTCCCACCCAGGCAGTGAGGCCACAGATAAGCCACTCAGTGTGATCCAAAGCACAATGACCTGGGAGACAGCCACGCCACTGCCTGCCTCTCCGAGTGGCCTAGAACCCCCCCATCCCACCGCAGTAGTTATTGTCCCACGTTAGACAACGAAGCTGAAACAGTTCCTTGGGTCTGGCGCTTTGGCCTCCTGTGCACAGCCACTGGCCAAGCATATGCTTAGTGCTTAGTGTTTGCTCCACAGGTGTTTGTTGAATGGATACAGAAGTGAGCAAACAAATGAACACAGCTGTCACTCAGGAGAAGAGGTTTCTTAGCAGCCAGTAAATGATTGGCGTGGAGTTTTCTATCTTACTCTCTTGGAACACCTTAGCTATCACCATCGGGTTTAACAGGAATCTTATGAGCAGGGAAACTGCCAATAGCACCACCTGTCATTTGATGGCACAAGGGACAGAAGCCTAGGGGCTGGGGAAGGAAAAGACCTTCTGGAGAGATGCTCTGAGAACGGAGGTAGTCACACCTTAAGAGTTGTAAGCCCTGAGGGAACTGAGAGATGGCATTTGTGATGAAGGGATGGGAGATGGCCAACTCAATTGACTAACCCGGACTGAGTTACCCTTGACTCCCTAGCACTGGGCAGAGATGTTTGCTCTTCATGAACAGAGCAAATAACGTGTCTTTCTCCAGAAAACCCAGTGGAGGCAGGCCCTCGTGACTGAGTCACTAGCATAAAGCAGTGGAGTGGGTAGCCCCAGAAACCAGCTTTGTGAAGGCTGTGACTTTTGGGTGCAGCAGAGATGGATCAAGGCCACCACTATTGGAGGTTAGGAAAATGGAAGCTCTTCCATCTCCTTTGTGTACCACACAGGTTCTCTCTCACACCTGCTCTCGGAGAGGCCATGGAAGACACCGACTATCTCATCTCCTTCCTTGGACTCCATGCACCATGGAAACCACTGGTCCATGAACTCCACATGCGACTTTGAAAGAAAGAGAATTCACCTCCATAGATGGAACTGAGGTTTGCAAAGCCCCTCTGATGAGGCCTGATGCTTTCACGCAGACACGCAGCTCCAAAACCATCTCCCTGGTGTGGCCTCTCCATAAAGCAGAAGATCTTCCCGGTCAGCATGGTCTCACCCCTGGCATATCAGCCTTCCAGTCTCTCTATTCTCAAAGGTGATATCTCCATAAAGGAAATGAACGGCCCTTTAAAGAAGGATCCCTTGAAGAAGGACTCAGTGTGAATGTGCGTGTGTGCATGTGAAGGAGAGGAAGGATACAAAAGAAAGGGAGAGAATGTGATTTGGGTTGTTTGCTTCGCCAGGTGACACACGGCTATTATCCATCCCAAGGGGGCGAGACATTGGCAGAAAGTCATGTGATAATTACCTTTCTTCTTCTTCTTCTTGGCGGGTCTGGTAGGTATTTATTCTGAAAGAGAAATGAGATGAATGCTATGATGGGTCCTTGTTTCTACTCTGTGAGCTTGGTATTTCCAACTGCCCTCCAGATATGTCCCATTGTCAACACAAATTCAGGGTGTCTTCGTGGAAAATAATGTCCCTCTCCAGATCTGTAACACACTGCTCTCTCTTACCCAGACGCAGCTTTAAGGTAAGCTTTAAAAACTGCATCCTCTCTTGCTTTCCTCATAGCCTTGCCAGCTTTTCCTTCACAATGCCTTCTATACGCACTGCTTCCTTTCCATTCCCCGGGGCCCCTCTAACTTGTGTGTTTAGCTACAGCTACCCACTGCCACATAACCTGGGGAGCGACGACAGGGCGCAGGCCCCATCAGTGGCCCTGGGCACACAAAGGTGTCTAGGCCTCTGGGGAGACAAGTAGGATGAGCCTTATAGGATGGATAAGGATGATAAAGTGTAAACCCTGCTCTCATAGAGTATTTTGGGATCCAGAGACAGGTGACTATGGTAGGCTGAATACTGGCCCCCAAAGATGGTCAGATCCCAACCCCCAGACTTCTGAATATGTTAACTTAAGTGGTAAAAATGACTCTGCAGATGTAATTAAATTAAGGAGCTTGCAATGGGGAGATCATTCTGATTATCTCTGTGGGGCCAATGTAATGACAAGCATCCTTTTGCCAGGGAGGCAAGAGGGTCAGAGTGAGGAGTAGGAGATGTAATGACAGAACACATTGGAGTGATGCCAGGAGTGATGCCAGGAAGGGCCTCAAGCCAAGGAACGCAGGCAGCTTCCAGAAGCTGAAAAAGGTAAGGAACAAATTCTCCCTGGAAGGCTCCAGGAAGAACCAGCCCTGCTGACACCTTGACTTGAGCCCAGTGAAACTGATTTCAGACTTCTAGCCTCCAGACCTGTTAAGATCATGGATTTGTATGGTTTTAAGCCACCCAGGTTGTAAAGAGCTGTTAGAGCAGCAACAGGCAACAGGTGTGGTGAGAAGGTGCTGTTTGAGCTGGGCCTCGCGGGCCTCGCATGGGTGGATCAGGCACAGAGGCGGTGAAGGTCATGTGAGGTCTTCATGGCTGCCAGCACTCCACCCTCCAGCCCATCCTGCATTCTCTGATCAGATTAATACTTCTAAAGCAGTGTGTCACCTGTGTCAGTCAGTCCGTAACCCCAAACCCTCCCACGATCCCTCCATGATTAAAGGAAGGGTCCAGACTCCTTCCTCCAGCCTCCAAAGTCCAAGACCCCCACCTCTCATTTAAATTACTTTCCTGTGACCACATTACACAGTGGCAATTATTCATGACCCCATCAGAGCCACAATTTCCTGTCTGACCTTCAAAAGGATGAGAGTTCATGCATTTGGAGGACTAAGCTGTACTATAAAGCAGCCAGAATGCTTCCGAGTGCAATGTTAGTAACACATGCATTGTGACCTGGGCGAGGGCATCGTGACAGTTTTCTGGACACTGAGAAATTCTGCTAATGCTTGGAGCTGGTGAACAGTGACACTAAACCCTGCATGTAAGCTGCTTATCATTGGGATACCTTAATCAGGTCTTTCAGGGGGAATCCACCACATCTCACACTCATCTTCCAGTTCTTGGACCGTGAGTAGTTTCCTTCAACTTCGAATTCCCTGAAGGTAAACCATCTTCCATCCTTACCCTTTATACACTTCTCTGAGGTTCCTGTGAGACCAAAACAAGGAGTTGCCAGGGAGTGCCCCCCACCAACCAGAGAACCCCCAGAATGTGGCCTTCGCCATGCACCTGAGCCACCTGTCTTGGGCTCAGAATCTACAGCAGGAAAACCGAGATGGCTCTCAGCGGCCCCCCAGGCAGCCCAGAAGGCAGGGGCAGGACAGGACTTCCAGTCCGGTGTGCACCCGTCTTTGACTTTTGTTTAACGAGGACAATAATTAGCACCAATGTTTATTTTTAAAAAGTATTTCACTATATTCAAAAGAGAAAAAGCTGAATGGCTCCGAAGATGAATGAGCAGGATTCTTTTCCTCCCCTTCTCTGAGAGCCAGGCTGAGTTTCAGGGGGGACAGACGAAGCCACACGGGTGGCCATGTAGGAGCTGTCACCACAGCTGCACCTGCTTCCTCTTGTACGATGTCGGTCATCCAGCTGATGGTAATCAATTATTTCTCATATTTTGGGGGCGCCTGGGTGGCTCAGTCAGTTGAGCATCTGACTCTTGATTTCAGCTCAGGTCAGGATCTCAGGGTGGTGAGATCAAGCCCCGCATTGGGCTCCGCACTGGGCATGGAGCCTGCTTGGGATTCTCTCTCTCCCTCTCCCTCTGCCTCTTCCTCCTCTCTCTCTCTCTTCCTCCTCTCTCTCTCAAAAAAAATTATTTCTCATATTTTGGACTCATAACTACTCTATGGGAAAAGTGATTATGGAAATGTCATCAAGTGGGAAAAGTTAAATTATACATCTACAATATGGTCACAGGGCAAACACTGATACATGTTGGTGCCTAGAGAACTATATTTGGGTGGGGGGAATCAATTATGACAGATGAACTTTTGTACTGTACTTTAACAGTTATGATTTGCAAAGTATTTTATATCTGCCATCTCATTTCCCCCCCTCATAATAGCATGGTGAGGCAAGTTTTTTTATTATGCCCATTTTGTCTGGGAGGAAGTTCAGGATAAGAGACTAGCGATTTGGTCTAGATGGAAAAGACACTCGTGGTATCACTGGAACTTGAATCCGGGTCTTCTAATTCTAAATCCTGGGCTCCCTCCCATTAGCGTAAGGCCATACAGATGTTAAGGGGAATGGGGCTGTGAAGGTTATTGCCAGATTTCCCAAATGTGTACATATTCCACCCTGATATTGAAGTACTTGGTCTTGCATTGGGTGCTGGATGGGCATCCTGTGGACATTTTCCATGGGGAAAGGAGAGATGTCCTGTTATGTTTATTAATTATAAGTGTGGAAATGCCATCTTTCCTCCAGCTTATCTGGGATGCTGTACAGAAAAGAGCTAATGGGTCAGAGCAGGGGCTGCTATCTTTAGAAAGGTCTGCTTGCAAGGTTGGCTCTTGGTTGGCATTGGGGAACTTGCATTTGGGCAGGGGTCTCACGATTCCCAGACCTTTAAAGAGTGTCTCACTGTCCTAAGCTGTTTACATAAACAATATAAATGGTTTCTGCCGAACACCTGCTCTCCTTCGGGGAGTCTGAAATTTTGGCGTGTGCTAGGCAGAGGACACCTACGTGACTAACCCCTGATAAAAACCTGGACTCCAAGGCTGGGGGCAGTCTCTCTGGTAGACGGCATTTCACATGTATTGCTACAATTCATTGCTAGAGAATTAAGTGCGTCCTGTGTGACTCTATCGGGAGAGACTCTTGGACACTGGCACCTGGTTTCCTTTGGACTTTGTCCTGTGTGTCTTTTCCTTCCTTGATTTTGCTTTGTACCCTTTTTAATCTAATAAATCATCACCATGAGTTCACTATATGCTGAGTCCTATGAGTTCTCCTAGTGAATCACCAAACCTAGGGATGGTCTTGGGAGACCCCTGACACAGGCGTCTACCCCCTGAATAATATATTATTCACATGGGTATTTTCCAGTTGAAAAGCATAGAAGATCATGAAATCCACCTTGTTTCATTTTCTCCTTATATAAAATCCCCTTTGCCTCTCCACAGGTCACGGGAAGTTCCGGAAGGCAAAAATTCATACGTGTATCTCTGGGAATTCTTGGACCTGCAAAGAAGAATTATTTTTTTCATTCCATCTTTCTCTACAACTATGCACTGTTTTGATCTCATCCATCTTGAGATCTTTCTTTTATCATTTAAAATGTATGGGAGGGCTTTTCCCCATGAACTCATTACCCTTCTAGGTCTTTCTTCTATGGCAGATTAGAAGCACAAAGAAAATGTCATTCTCCAAAGCCCTACATTAAAAGCTTTGTGTGGAGGTGTCTGAATCTCCAAGTTTGTTGACCACAACTCCCCATTGTGCAATGATTTCCTCCCGCCACATTATTGCTTTGAAGTTATGTAGCTGGAGATAAAACCTCAACTTTTAGTTTTGTCTCCCTGCTTGAGGAATCAGCTCAGGGACAGAAAGCAAGATTGCAATGGGGCACCTAGCAGGGACAGTGTCTCTCTTCTCTCCTTGCTCTCTGCTTGTTGCACTTCTTCATGTGAGCTTTCTCTGCAGCTAAAAGGGAAACTCAAGGTAGAGCATGCTAGAACTGCAAATTACTCAGGGAGGGGACCTCTGCACATCCTTTGGGTGGGGGTAGTGGGATCTGATTCTGCTGAAGCAGGCTTTGCAAGTCTTAAAATGAACTTCAGAAGCAGGAGCATCTGCTCCTGCCCTTCTGACCAACACTGAGGGGGATTCATTAAAGACAAATGCTGGGCCTTCTCTATGGAATGGGAAGGGTGGGTGGCCATAGTCCTTCCAGAGTTATTCTGTTAGAGCTGGGGTGGGCCTAGAAGGTCACTCAGTCTAATTCACCTGCCACCCACCCATTTACAGAGAAGGAAAATGAGGCCAAAAAAACAAACCCACAAATGATAATCCAAAGTCACACATCCGAAGGAAGTTTGGGAATTAGGACACAGGTCTTGTATTACCACCCAGGGTCCCCCTTGATGGGCAACCTGTGGCTCTCTATGTGGGCAAGAGAAGGGTCAGCTAAATATCATGAGAGTCATAACCTTTATATTCTTTCTTTATATTTCCTTCCTCAAAAGTTATCAGTGTAGTCAAATAAGCCCTGTACAGACCCAAGGAGGCCTGGGGTCTCTCAGATCAACTAGGCTAATCAATGGAGTGGGTGTTATACCATCTTGTCTTATTGTTGAAATTAACCAAGGCCAATGAATAGCCTAACATTTGTTACTTGTTCTAAAAGCCAATTAAGAAAATTGATTGATCACTCAAAACACAGAGTATAAAATAAGAATTTAGAGACTTAATTATTAAAAGTATATTATTTATTTCCTTTTACCTCTTTTTCTGCCTCTTCTCAAAGACCCGGAGATGACTGTTTTTCTCCCTGAGAAAGTAAAAAAATAACACAAATGTTTGTGTTTATAACATTACATTGCAAATAGTAGTGTTTTACAAAAACACCATTCAAATGTAACTTTTCAGAAGCCTGTCTAGTACTTCAAGAAAAATGGCAAATGTGTGAATGAATCAGGAGTCAGGAACTTTTTCCTATAAACTGACAGATAGTAAATACTTAAGGTACGTAATTGCTGTTGTGACTATTCAGATCTGCTGTTGTATTACGAAAGCATCCGTAGATAATATGGAAATGAAAAGATGTGGCTGTGTTCCAAGAAAACTTTATTTACAAATAGTCAGTGGGCTGGATTTGTCCTGTGGGCCATAGTTTGCTGAACCCTGGCCTAGACTTAGTTACAAAGATGATACTTAACTGAGATTCATCCTATATTTCTTCTACTATTATCTCCAAATAAATTTGAAACTGTGTTTTGTAGATTTCCGAAGCAACTGTGTAAGAAGTATACTGAAGTTAGACATCTATTGAGTGCTTCTTGTGTGTCAAGAACTATTCTTAGATCTTGCCTCTATTAACTTACTTCATCCTTAGAACAAATTATCAAACAGGAACTAATACTATCCTCATTTTACAGATGAGAAAGTCAATGCTCACAGATAAAAATTCTGATTAAATGAAGGTGCTGAAGATTTCCTTTAATAAAGAGACAGACATAAAAGGTGGTAATACAGGGTTCCAAGGGAGATTTTATGGTGGATTCTACAGGTCAGATAGCTGCCCAAAACGTTAAACCTGAAAGAAGATATTTGAGCTGAAAGCGGTGGCAAAAATGAGCAAGGAGGTCCAAAACCATATGAGGCTGAGATGGGCCTTGGAGGGCAGTCAAGCTATTATTATTTATCTTACTTTATAGATGAGTAAACCAGGCAGAAGAGGTAAAGTGACACTCTCGAGTCCATACGATTACCTCAAGGTCATGGGACATGAGGAAGGACAGCTACATCACTTGTGAATTACATAGTGTTTCACGGCTACAACTACTTCCAGCCCTGAAAGTTATCAGTTTGGCAGAAGGAACGCTGCAGTGGCACTTGGGCCCCAGGTCTGGTTGCAGATTCATCACCAAATCACCTTTTTGTGGTATTATCATCTTTCTCTCCCTGTCACATTTTGGAAATTGACTAAATCTGATATATTTCTCAACAGTACAGCTACATAAAGCAATACGGAAGTAGGTTTGTTACTAAAAGCATAGAATAAAGCATGAGAACTTAGACATTTAGTTACTGAAAATGGAAAATGTATACTTTTTTTAAATTAAAAAAATTTTTTTCTTTTTACCTTTTGGTTTGCCTTTGTTCCATAGGGCTCTGTTACTCAGAGTTTGGATTCTATGTCTGCCTTTCCTTCTCACTGAGAAAACAAAAATATAAAATATAAAATATAAAAATGATGCTGCTGACATGCTACTAAACAACCAATGAGTCAATGAAGAAATCAAAGAAGAAATAAAAAAATAGATAGAAACAAATGAAAATGAAAACACAACAGTCTAAAATCCTTGGGACACAGCAAAAGCAGTTCTAAGAGGGAAATTTATAGTGATATAAGAATACCTTAGGAAACAAGAAAAATCTCAAGTACATAATCTAACCTTATACCTAATAGAACTAGAAAAAGAACAAATAAATCCCAAGGTTAGTAGAAGGAAAGAAATAATAAAGATCAGATGAAATAGAAACAAACAAACAAACAAAAAACCATAGAAAATACCAAGGAAACAAAGAGCTAGTTCTTTGAAAAAATAAGCAAAATTAATAAACTCTTAGCCAGACTCATCAAGAGAAAAAGAGAGAGGAAACAAAATCAGAAATGAAAGAGGAGAAATAAGAACAAATACCACAGGGCGCCTGGGTGGCTCAGTTGGTTAAGCGACTGCCTTCGGCTCAGGTCATGATCCTGGAGTCACAGGATCGAGTCCCGCATCGGGCTCCCTGCTCGGCGGGGAGTCTGCTTCTCCCTCTGACCCTCCTCCCTCTCATGCTCTCTGTCTCTCATTCTCTCTCTCTCAAATAAATAAATAAAATCTTAAAAAAATGTATTATTATTAAAAAAAAAACAAGAAAAAAAAAGAACAAATACCACAGAAATGCAAAGGATTGTAAGAGACTGCTATGAAAAATTATATGTTAACACATTGGACAACCTACAAGAAATGGATAAATTCCTAGAAACATACACAATCTTCCCAAATTGAATTAGGAAGAAATAGAGAATCCAAACAGACCAATTACTAGTAATGGAACTGAACTGACAATCAAAAAACTCCCAACAACCAAAAGTCCAGGACCAGTTGGATTCACAGGTGAACTCTACCAAACATTTAGAGAAGAGTTAATACCTGTTCTTCTCAAACTATTTCAAAAAACTAAAAGAGGAAGGAAAGCTTCCAGATACATTCTATGAGACCAGCATTACCCTGATACCAAAACAAGACAAAGACTACAAAAAAAAAAAAAAAGAAAAGAAAAGAGAACTATAGGCCAGTATCCCTGATGAACAAAGATGCAAAAATCCTTAACAAAATATTAGCAAACTGCATTCAACAATTCATTAAAAAGATCACTCACCACAACCAAGTGGAATTTATTCTAGAAATGCAAGGATGATTCAATATTTGCCAATCAATCAATGTGATACACCACATCAACAGAATGAAGGATAAAAATCAATCTATGAAAATACTAACAACATTTTTCACAGAACTAGAACAAATAATACTAGAATTTATAGGGAACCACAAAGACCCCAAATAGCCAAAGCAATCTTGAGAAAGAACAACAAAGCTAGAGGCATCATACTCCGAGATTTCAAAATATATTACAAATCTGTAGTAATCAAAACAGTATGGTATTGGCAAAAAAAGAGACACACAGATCAATGGAGCAGAATAGAGAGCCCAGAAATAAACTCACACTTATATGGTCAATTAACCTCTGACAAAGGAGGGAAGAATATACAATGAAGAAAAGACAGTCTCCTCAACAAATGGTCCTGGGAAAACTGGACATGCAAAGGAAGGAAACTGGACCACTTTCTTATACTATATACAAAAGTAAACTCAAAATGGATTAAAGATCTAAAGGTGAGACCTGAAAATGTAAAATTCCTAGAAGAAAAGACAGGCAGTAATCTCTTTGACATCAGCCTCAGGAACATTTTTCTGATCTGAGTCCTCGGGCAAGGGAAATAAAAGCAAAATAAACTATTAGGACTACACCAAAATAAAAACTTTTGCACAGTGAAGGAAAAACATCAACAAAATGAAAAGGCAACCTACTGAATGAGAGAAAATATTCACAAATGATATATATCCAATAAAGGGTAAATATCCAAAATATATAAAGAAGTTATACAACTCAACATTTAAAAAATTGGTTGAAAATGGGTAGAGGATGTGAACATTTTTTCCAATGAAAACATACAGTTGGCCAACAGACACATGAAAAGATGTTCAGCATCACTCATCATCAGGGAAATTCAAATCCAAACCACAATGAGATATCACCTTATACCTGTCAAAATGACTAGAATCAAAAGGACAAGAAATAAAAAGTGTTGGGGAGCCTGGGGGCGGAGCAAGATGGCGGAGGAGTAGGAGACCTGGATTTCGTCTGGTCCCAGGAATTCAGCTGGATAGGGATCAAACCATTCTGAACACCTACAAACTCAACAGGAGATCGAAGAAAAGAATAGC